TGTCCCATTTCTCCTGCACCCTCTCCCACAGCTCCAGCATTCCCCTTGGCGGCTTTTCGTACTTCCCCAGCTGCCTTTTCACATGTGCCCACAGGTGCTCAATCGGGTTAAGGTCCGGGGAGCACGACGGCCATTCCAGCACTGCGTACTCCTGCTCCCCAAGCCAGTCTTGGACCAGACGAGACCTGTGCTTGGGATCATTGTCGTGCTGGAAAATGACCTCTGAGGGGGAAAGCTTGAAAAAATCGATGGTCTGTTTGAGCTCATCTTGCAAGATGCTGCGATACAGCGGCCCATCCATCCTGCCATCTATCTTGCACATGAACCCCGCCCCCTCATACGTCATGCAACCCCACACCATCACAGAACCGCCCCCATGCTTAACTGTCTGTTGGACTTGATGGCTCCGAAGGCTGGTGCCCTCGCGAATCCAGGCGTACGCACGTCCGTCGGAGCAGTAGCGGTTTATCTTTGTCTCATCAGACCAAATCACCCACTTCGAGTCCTCCAGCGTCCAGTCGGCATGAGACCGCGCGAAGTCGAGACGATCTCGGATGTTTTTCGGTGAGAGCCTGGGTTTCTTGGGCTGATGCACGGCGATCAGCCCCGCGGATCGTAATGAGTTCCGGACCGTCTTCGAGTCTACGGCGAGACCGTGCTTCTCCAACAACATATTTGCCGCTTGTACAGAGCTTTTCGCCTCGCCGCTTGTAATCGTGCGTATTATTCCGCGCTGGAGACGGGTAGTGATTAAGCGGGGGCGGCCGGCCGAAGGCATCGTAGGTCGCACCTCCTCGAGACTAGTCTCAGCAGCCACTTTCAAACTGTAACCGTGCACGGTGCTCTTGCCTATGCCAAGAACTTTGCCTATTTTCCTAGTCGAATGCCCCGCACGCAACATGCTTATGATTCGCGCGCGCTTCCGCTCAGTTAACGGCTTCATGGCGATGCGGTCGTAGGCTCGCTTCCGGACTAACTCCTAAGCCAACAACTGTTGCGCGTGACGATGTACACACTGAGTGACGGGGGAAAATAGATCCACTCTTCCGCTCGGTTGGAAATGTCCGCATCGATAGTCGAGGACTAAATTTCAACCCCACTTTCAGGTTGTGTCACAATCGCGCCAAGCAAGAAACGGTTGAAGCAGAACTCGAAAACCTTGTAACGGAATGGCAAAAAACGGGTGTTACTATTTTCGAAACATGTGTGGCATAACGATACGTTTCAAAGTGTTAAACATCCGCGCAATTTTATCCGCCACTGTATGTCATCACGTTCATCGATGTAGCAACAAGATATGTCTGGCACTACAACCTCAAGACGCGCGATCAAGCTTTCGAAGCCTTCACGACATGGCTCCCCATCGTTGAACGAGAATCAGGAACTAAGCTCAAAAGCTTCCAGTCAGATGGCGCAATGGAATACCAGTCACAATGATTCAAGACCTACTTGGCGGAAAGAGGTATCAGACGCCTGGTGTCTCTACCCTACGCTCACCAGCAGCAAGGGGTCGCAGAAAGAATGAACCGGACCTTGCAGACGACGATGCGGAAGCTGCTCCTAGGGATGAGACTGCCCAACACACTGTGGCCAGACGCGATGACCCATGCAGTCCACCTGCACAATTTGTTATCCTCGTTCTCGCTTCCCAACAGCGCATCCCCGCACCTGCTGTGGACACAAAAAAGGGGCAGCACAAAATTACTTTGGGTTTTCGGCTGCATGGTACAGTACAGACCCCACACAGCCCGAGCAGGACGTTTCACTCAACGAGCACGGTGGGGACTACATCTCGGCATCGCAAAACATTTCCAAGCATGGAAACTCCTCGACATACAAGACAAAAATACAGTGGCATCACGTGATGTGATCTTCTACGAACGGCTGACGCTGCAGCATTACCTGGACAACGTCGCCAACACAGACGACCCCACCGACGGCCTCGCGGGCCTTCGCTCCTTCGCCGACCGTGCTGCCGAGGCTGACGCAGCAGAAGAAGACGTACCTGGAGATTCGGAAGCTGCCGGACCACTCCCTTACTGTTCCGTACCTATTCCACTCGGCGAAGACAATCCTCTCGATAGCAACAACCTCGACACCCTTTACCACTTCGTTGACCAAGGTTACGTTACACCTCACCCGGTCGACACGAATGTCTCAGAACGCATCGGCCCAAACTTCTTACTTGATCCAGAAGATGGTGACGAAGCAGCCTATTCGGGGAATGAAAATTCCCCTCGACACACACCCACGGGACCGCAGATACTCGGCTTATGGGTCTCCGTCCAGCACCCGCCGCCGCCATCTCCGCGCGAGCCAACGACTCTATCACAGACTCTGGGGGGGGAACATAAGGCGAAATGGAAAGAGGCAATGGAAAAGGAACTGAAAGCTCTGCAAGACCGAAATACATGGAAGATGGTACCTGCAACGAACATCAACGGGAAGAACGTACTCTCGGGAAAATGGGTGTACCGCATCAAGACTAATGCGGACGGCTCCATCGAACGATTCAAGGCTCGCTGGGTCGTACGAGGATTCGATCAACGATACGGAACCGACTACACAGAAACATTCGCCCCAGTCTCCCGTCACACCTCCTTGCGCATTCTACTCGCCGTCGCGGCCACAAAGAAACTACCACTGCGCCAGATCGACGTCGCAAATGCCTTCCTGTATGCACCTGAGGATGCCGAGATCTTCGTCGAGCAGCCCCACGGATTCATCGACGACCCCACAAAAGTATGCCAGCTGATAAAATCCCTCTACGGGATCAAGCAAGCCCCACGACTTTGGCAGCAGCATCTTAACGGTCGCCTCGTCAGAATCGGATTCCTACAGCTGCCGCACGACCAAGGCATGTACTGACTACAGAAGGAAAAGGACTTTATCCTACTCATCGTCTACGTCGACGACCTGCTCTACATCGGCTCCACTACCGACATCGCCACCTGGTTCCAAGGGGAGCTGAAAAGTGACTTGACACTCACGATGTCTGACACCGTGACCCAGCACTTGGGACTGAACGTCGTAGAAGACAACTCGGCGTTCTGCCTATACGCTGGAAAATACGCAGGCGTTGTCGCGAAGAAATTCTGACTAACATCGACTACAGTCACGACTCCCTACCGCTACGGGAACAACAACGACACCTTCGCAAAACTCCCCGCGAAGCAAGTCCAGGAGTATCAGCAGAAGCTCGGCTGCCTACTATTCGCAGCAGTAACCTGCCGACCGGACCTATCTTACAGCGCGAGCCAACTGGCGACGCATCTGAAGCAGCCGGAACAAGAAGATCTCGAGGAACTAAATCGGGCACTACTCTACTTCGTCTCTACGCCGACGACCGGACTTACCTACAGTAAAGAAACGACATCGTCCGTACAACTACTCGGATACGTCGACGCCGACCACGCGGGGGACAGAGAAAATGGACGCTCAAGGACGGGCTACATCTACCGACTAGAGCCTATCGGGACTATCTCCTGGCAGTCGAGCAAACAGGAACTAATCGCACTATCTTCGGCTGAAACAGAATATATCGCCCTCTGCACTGCGACCAAGGAAGGACTTTACCTGCGAGAGTTACTCGAGGAAGCAAAGATTGCGACCCTGCCCGTCTTCTCACTCTTCTGCGACAACCAATCTACGATGAAAATCGCGAACAAGGACGGTTTCGCCAACCGAACCAAGCACATCGCCCTGCGGAATTTCTTTGTCAAAGATGAAATCGCGAAGGGGAGACTTCAACTCAGTTACTGCCCCACGACAGAAATGGCTGCACACTACCTGGCGAAGAAACTGGCGAAAGCAAAGTTCGATTACTGCATGCTACTGACCGGGCAGACAAACGTCACCAAATCGGGACACGGCAGCACTTCAGAAACGAAGGGGAGTGTTGGAAGTATCTCGAGGACTTAAACGTTTCTGAAGTGTAAAACACCACACTCGAGGAAGATCGTAACGGGTACACGAGTCAACGGAGGTTACACGAGGGGGTGGGCAAAGAACACGAAAGGACCCGAAAGAACGGTAACAACTGCAAGAACGGTAACCGAAGCGACAATCGAGTCGCTATGCGACTCGATAACCGCTCTTCAACTGAATTCTACAACTGCTTTACTTTACTACTTTCTATATATTGCTGTATACTTGTTCTTTTAATCAATCACTTGTTCTCACATACTAGTACAAGGGTTCAACAACTCCAACTTCCGCTGCACTACTCAAGCCTTCCTTTACAACTTGAACTTAGTATCTGGAAAGATCCTAAGGGCATTTATCAGCCCAACAGTGGCTAAGCTAGCGCAAAAGTGAAGTGCCAACATCATGTTAGTATCCTGCTGCTGTGCAATGTGACTTAGTGCAACGTTTCCAGTGTTTTTGAATATGCCTGATGCCACAGTACAAAATGGAGAACCCCCTGAGGAATAAGTATGAACATAGGCAACCAACCCTGAGTGCTACACGGTTTTTTGGAGGCCATCCCTGATTGGTCAGGATGCCCGAGATCCTATCTGAGGCCCTGACTCCCACGAAATCATCATACGCAAATATCTGCCGGTGACTAAACCACATACTAACTAAATACGCGATTTAGTAGTGAAGCAATAGTGTTCCGAACACGTTTTGGTTAGTTCACTGATTCTCAGCACCTACGTTTTGTACACAGTGCCGGGTGGCAAGTTCTTAGCTACTCGGACCAGCGTTGACTTGACTCGAGTAAACCCCCGCGAGTTTCCCCCCTGAGTTTGCGCCAATCTCGCACCTACCAGGGGTTTCACTCACACCAATCTCCAGGGGTTTTGTGCGTGTCGCTCACGCCAAATTGGGTTCGTAACTTTGCTTCGCTAGTCTTCGCTTTCGCCTCTCCCGCTTTCAAACCCCAAACCCGAGTTCCGTTACCTTTCGTCGCAGCACCGCAACACATCGCACGCAGCGCGCGGGCCGCAACCCTGGAAAAATATAAATCAGTTGCCAGGAATTTCGCAAAGCACGTTCAGCAACCCTTCCCTCCAGGTTTTAGTCCATCCCCTCCCTCTGCTCCTGCTCCAACTCACCCGACTCACTCCAACTCACACAAAACCAGCTGCTAGCTGGTAGCGTCAGAATCAAGTTCTACGGTTTAGTGGCCCTCGGAAACTCATACTCAGCGTGCAAGTCATCTTCAAAGAATCCTTTATTCAATCCTTTCCGCTCTGCAGACTTGCAAAAATGGTGACTATGGCGAAACTGCAGGTCGTCCTAGCGGCCCCAAGCGCAGTTCTCTCTCTTATAATCGGCACAGCACTGCTGACCACCATGTTAGAACCGGTGCCACCTGGACGAGCCGCTATGCCGCTTCAGACAGCCATGCGGTTTACTGGGAGTCATCTGACCAACCTGAGGGTAATCGTAACCCTAATGGGTGTACTACTCGCGAGCTGCACCAATTTGTCCGGGTGCCTCCGAGCCACCAGATTCACAGACGGAGCAGCAGTTCTGGCAATGATGGTGCTGACGTGTGTGGTAACCAGCAAGAGGTTTCGACTCCGCTTCGCGAATGCAGAGTCTCTGAAGGCCTTCTAGTAAGGTGGGGTGGCACGTACAAGGCTGGGTGCTGCCACTGAAGGCTGCAATGTGCTGAAGGCTCCCTGGAAGTTATCTGACCAATCTGAGGGTTATCTTACCGTGATGGAGGGCATCTGACCAGCGTGCTGGACCACACATCACCGTTCTGCACCAGATGCATGTGCAACAGTGCTGGCCTTGGTCGCCAATGTGCGAAGGACTTGACGCGACTCTGCTTCTTGAAGGCAGTATCTGAAGCCACTATAAAACGCAAATGTGATGTGTGTAACCTTCTGTATATGTACATTAAAAACAGAACACCCTGCTTGGTGTGACCAAATTTCTTCATCATCCGGGCTGCATCTCTGGAGCTGTGAGGCATCCATGTCATAATGCGGGATGACCCCACCAATTTTTTAGTCCCAAGTCCTTCACCAGAGCAGAAGATTCTCTGTTCCGCAGTTAATAATGCAGCCATGTCATGTCATACAGGAGACTGCCGTAAACAATCAGGGCGTATTCCTACTTTTCAGAAATCAGGATTTGCCCCCTGATATCGATGCTTGAGCCCTACCGTTTTGCAGCACTGCATATCAGGCCAGTTTGGGCTGGTCGCCGAAGGCTGCCACGTCGGCAGGCCTCACAACGCAATACGACCCTTGCTGTAGTATGCAGCCGATCCCGCGCAACATCCAAACGCAGCAGCCAAAATTTGAAGCCCGCGCACGTGCCCAGCATTGGTCAGATTGGTTGGCAACAAGGAGGGCACAGACGAAAACACTGTATTTACAGATTTCAAGTTGCCAGTACTGTCGCCTAGCATCGCTTCCGAATCCACGCGGCGTTCGGATAGAGCCCGACAAATCTGATTTTATTTCGTGCCAATCAATCGCGTGCTGCTCGCGCTGATGTGGCACTCGGTGTCAACTTATACATATTAGCTATGTAGAAGTTATAGGCTAGACCGGGGTATGCTTCTAGTGAGTACAACCAACTAGTATTTGTTCTAGGTTTCTCCCTCTAGTTCAATTCATTCAGTTCTTACTTTGACATGGTATCACGCGTAGGCTAGAATCCCCCACCTACCGCTTCCGCCGGTACCCTAGCTAGGCCCCGCCGCGCCCCCCCTGGGCCCCCTCGCGCCCCACCCCCCCCCCCCTGGGCCCCGTCGCGCCTCCTAGTCCCGTTGCGCCCCTCCTGGGCCTCGTCGCGCCTCCTAGCCCCGTCGCGCCCCTCCTGGGCCCCGTCGCGCATCCTAGCCCCGTCCCGCCCCTCCTGGGCCCTGTCGCGCCTCCTAGCCCCGTCGCGCCTCCTAGCCCCGTCGCGCCCCTCTTGGGCCCCGTCGTGCCTCCTAGCCCCGTCGCGCCCCCCCCTGGGCCCCGTCGCGCCTCCTAGCCCCGTCGCGCCCCTCCTGGGCCCCGTCGCGCCTCCTAGCCCCGTCGTGGCCCTCCTTGGCCCCGTCGCGCCCCCCCAGGGCCCCGTCGCGCCTCCTAGCCCCGTCGCGCCCCTCCTGAGCCCCGTCGCGCCTCCTAGCCCCGTCGCGCCCCTCCTGGGCCCCGTCGCCTCTCCTAGCCCCGTCGCGCCCCTCCTGGGCCCCGTCGCGCCCGCGAGGCCCCGTCGCGCCCTGCCTGGCCCCGTCGCGGCCAGCCTAGCCCCGTCGCGCCTGCCTGGCCCCGCCGCGCCTGCCTGGCCCCGCCGCGCCTGGCCCCGTCGCGCCTGCCTGGCCCTGCCGCGTCTCCCTGGCCTCTCCCACTGCCCGCCCGGCCCCTCTTCGTGCCTTCTCGGCCTGCCGTGCCACCTCGGGCTCCGTTTACTCTGCTCGCCAGTGCTCGGGCGCCTCGCGGCCGCCGTGCTGGAGAGTGCTGCCACCGTGTCCTTGCGTCGCTGTGTTCCTGCGGAGCCGTGGAGCTGTGCCGCTGACCCTGCACGATGGCTGACTTCGTGCTCCGACTGGACGCCGATGGCCATGCGGTTGACTTCGCCGCCTGGCTCTCCGATCTCCGCCGCCACCTTACAGGTCAGCGCCAGGATGGCCACTCTTTGGTTGTCCATGTCGATGGCTTGCTCCCCCGCCCCCCCGCACCTGCTCCCCTCCCTGCTGACCCCTCCTCTGATGACCGTGAGACCTTTTCTACTGCTGCGCTTGCCTGTGCGGTCTGGGACTCCCGCAATGCAGTCGCTCAGGTTGCTATTAGCCACGCCCTCCCTGTGTCTGAGCGCTCGCGTTTTGCTACTGTTGAGACGGCCAAAGCTTACTTAGACGCCGTCATTGCTCGCTATTCCACACCCGCGTCTGCTTCTGCTGGCCGCTTGCTTTTCCCGATGCTGTTCCCTGACCTTGCAGCCTTCCCTACCGTCGCAGACTTTGCCACTCACCTGCGTGCCCTAGAGACCCGCTATCGCACTGCCAGCACTGCTGCCCAGCTCACTGCGCTCCCCCCTCCCTTTCTGCATGCCGCTCTATTTTATCGCCATGCGCCTGCCAGACCGCCTCGCTAGTGCTCGCGATCACTTCCTTAGCCAGCACCCGGGTGACCTCACCCTCACCGCCTTTGTCGACAACCTCACCAAGATCGAGACTCGCCAGCGCACTATCGCTCAGTCGAGCGGTGCGCCGGCAGTCTCTATCTTTCACGGTTGTGCCCCCTCCCAGTGCACGTTCACTGACGTTTCGGTTGCGGTCGCCACGGCGACCCCTCTCACCGAGACGGCTGCTGCGGTCCACCCGCAGCAGCGCTCGCGCCGCGGTGGCCGTGGTCGCCAGGGAGGTAGGGGTGGTGGCGCAGGTGGTGGTGGTGGTCGTCGTGACAGTAGTCCGCCTGAGGGGACTACCACCGGTGGGCAGGAGCAGCAGCCCCAGCCGCAGCAGGAGCAGCCCCAGCAGCAGCCGCCGTCCTAGTAGCAGCCGCCGTCCCAGCAGCAGTCGCCGCAGCCGTGGGCCCGTCCCCCGCCTGGTTGGCCCGGCACCTCCGGAGGTAGTGGCCGTGGTGGCGGCCCGCGTAGCTCGGTGTCTACCGGCGGCTCCGGTGCTGTCACTTGCCAGTACCAGCTTCAGACCGGGCCTCTTCGCGGCACTCTGTGCCGCCGCCCGCACCCGACCGCCCGCTGTTTCCGCCACCTCGACGATCTCTTTCGTCGTCGCTTTGGCCCGGCCCCGGACCTCCCCGACTGGCACAGCCTGCTCCGCCAGGGCGTGCCGATCTTTGAGTTACACATGGATCAGATAGGTGCTGCTTTGCATGCCTTGTATTCTGACGCTTCTAGTGTTGCTGGATCTTATTACCCTGTGTACTCTAGTTTAGGTGTTGCACCGTTGTGTAGCTTAGCCTCCCCTGCTGCGTCAGGCGTAGGACTGCCTAGTTTGCCTAGCCTAGTCTCTGCACCGGCTCCGTTCCCGGCCTCCGCCACTGCTTCACTGTCCTTCACTCTCGACTCCAGTGCTTCTGCCTACTTCTTCCGCGACCGTTCCGTGCTCACACCGCTTGCTACGCCTGCTGTTGTCTCTCTCGCTAACCCCTCTGCGGGTCCTGACGCCGCTCGCAGTTCTACGTCCCTTCCCTGTCCAGCAGTTCCCTCGGGCTCCCTTACAGGCCTACACGTTCCCTCGTTCTCGAGGAACCTGGTTGGTGTCGGCTGTCTCCAGGACCTCGGCGTCACCACCACGTTCCCCGGGCATGAGCGGTTCGCTGTCTGTTCTGAGGCTGTCTCATGTTCCCCCCTTGCGACATTCCCCCTGGACCCGGTGTCCGGTCTGTTGACCCTCGACACCGCTTCCCCCCCTGTTGGTGCGTCCTCCCAGGTCGCTGTAGCTTGCTCGTGTCGGTCCCTCACTCACCCGTCCCTTCTCTGGCACCACCGCCTAGGTCACCCTGCTCTCCCACGTCTGCGTCACATGTCCCAGCACGGTCTTGTCTTAGGTCTCCCCGCGGTGCTCCCTGCCCTTCCTCCCTCGACTGCGCCACCGTGCACGCCTTGCGTCGAGGGCCGGCTCCGCCGTCCTCCTCACTCCTCCTCGCAGCGCCCTGCTACTGCCCCCCTTCAGACCCTGCACCTGGACGTTTGGGGCCCTGCCCCCGTCCCCGTACCGCGAGGTGAGCACTACTTCCTTGTGCTCGTCGATGACTACACGCGCTACACCACGTTGTTTCCCCTGGAGCGGAAGGCCGACGTGCCCGACGTGTCTCCACTTCTCCCGTGGGTTGTGGCTGTGCGTCTTCACCGCGGTCTCCCCGTGTTGTGTCTCCACTCTGACCGTGGCGGCGAGTTCGCCTCTGGTCGGCTTGGACAGTTCTGTCGTGCGGAGGGCATCACCCAGTCGTACACCTTGCCAGACTCCCCACAGCAGAATGGGGTTGCTGAGCGCCGCATCGGCTTGGTCATGGAGGTCGCCCGTACCTCCATGTTTCATGCCGATGCCCCCCATTTTCTGTGGCCGTTCGCTATTCGCTACGCTGCTCACCAGCTTAACTTGTGGCCACGCTCCCAGCGGCCGCAGGTTTTGCTGACCCTCCTTTGCACCGGTTCCCCCGGTGATGCGTGTGCGTTCCACGTCTGGGGCTGCCTCGCTCACGTTCGTGCCTCTGGCACGGACAAGCTCACTGCCCGCACTGTCCCCTGTGTCTTCCTCGGTTTCCCCCTGGACTCGTCAGACTGGCTTTTCTACCACCCGCCGTCTCACCGCTTCCTCCACTCTCGTGACGTCACCTTTGACGAGTCTGTCTCCTTCTACCGCCGCTTCCCTCACCGAGGTCTCCCCGTTGCCCCGCCCCTGTTCCTTGCTCCCTCTCCCCCGGTAGCCCGTGCTCCTCTCTCGCCTCGCCCTGCCCCGTCTGGTGTCTCTCACGTCACTCCCCTCCCGTCGGTTATCCCCGTTGAGGAGTCCGCTGACTCTGGTGGTACCCCCGGCCCGTCCTTGCTGCGTCCCCCTTCCCTGGTGTCTTCGCCTCCACTGTCGCAGTCGCCGCCTCCGCTGCAGACGCCGCTGCCGCCTCCGCCGCTGCCGTCGCCGCCGCTCTTGGCCCCTGGGGGTGCTGGTGTGGAGGAGGGTGTTCGTCCTGCAGCTCCTGGGGGTAACGCTGGTGTTGGAGGGGGTTCTCACTCTGGGGGTGTTGGTTCTAGGGGTGCTGCTGTTGAGGGTTCCGCCGACGGTCGTCCTGCCTCTGCCGGTCCGAGTGTTCCGGCCCAGCCGTCGCAGCAGCCGTCGCCGCCGGTCTCCGCTCTCTGCCTGCTCGGCCTTCCCTCCCCGGTCCTGTGCTCCCGCCGCCGGACTCGTCTCCGGCCCGTCTTCCTCCTCGTTCCCCTCCTGTGTCCCCTCCGTTGTCCCCTGACCCTACACCTCC